TATTGTTTCTTAAATTTTACTTATAGTTGATCAATCCATATAAAATCATCAAAAAAATACTTTAAATAAACTTCAAAAATCCTCCAAAATAAACTATAAAGACACATCTTGGATTTAAACTTGGTAGCCCAAGCCTAATGTACTATACAATAAGGGCTAAGAAAAGTAGGTTTGAATTCATAAACTTGGTAGCCCAAGCCTAATGTACTGTACAACAAGCGCCAAGAAAAGTAGACTTGAATTTATTAAATAATTTTTTAAAGATCCCATGTGGATCTTTTATTTTATATATTGATTTAAAATATGTTATTTTAAGTAAAATATAGCTCAAAATATTATAAAAATAAAATTATATTAATCATCTTCTTTTCATTAGCTCAAAATATTATAAAAATAAAATTACATTTAATCATCTCTTTTTCACAAAAAACAAGATTCATAGGTTATAAATACATTATGAATCCTTCAAGTTAAAAGTTTACTATCTTTTCTTTTTAAATATTTTCAGCATATATATTTTGAATTTTTTTTTCTATTAAGTTATTAGCTTTATCATCAAAAAGTCCATGTATCTATAAAAGTAAATATTTACAGTAACCAACTACCAATTATCAAAAACGCATTTCATATTAAGCCACCAAATATTTTTACTATAAAAAATGTATCATATTACTTAAAATTAATAAATCAATCAATTATCCAACACATCAATATTATTTATAAGCAACTTAGATTTTGGGACTTCTTAGTAGTAAATATAAAATCATAAAATCATCAATAAATTTATTCCTATCATCTTAATATTTATATCTTAGATAAATTACATATTTTGATTTCATAAACACAATTCTGAACCTAAAAAAAAGGAGCATAATGTTTATATTATAAGCTATAAAGTACATGTCTTAATGCACAATAAAAAAAAATACTTACAAATTACATTGTGTTTCTGGATATATGCACATATAACTTCAATTTATTACATCAAATAAGTTTATGAATTAATTTTTTTAATTCTTGAATGATTTCAAATATATATAAGTGTAGTGCTTTATAGACAAGAAAAAAATTAGAAATTATTTTTTTTTTAATTTCAATCTAACATTTATAATCTGGCCATTATAAAGAAAAATAAAAGAATAGGTGTTTTGGATCGAGGTTGAACTGTTCATTATAGATAAGCTTAAGTCCACAACCAATATATAAAGAATATGCATTAATAACAAAAAAAATATTTTTTTTCATTTTTATGGTATTTTTTATTTGTTGAAAATAAAAATAAACTTTTCATAAAAAAGAAAAAGAAATACATCAAGAATACAAGAAAATCAAAAGTAATCTTAGTATTTTACGCTTTTAATAATCTAATACAGAATATTAATCTTACTTTATTTAAAGTAAAAATAATCATAAATTAAAAAAAGAAATCTATATTATATTATTAATAAAAATGAGATTTAATATACTAATTAAATATGAGAATATATATAAAAAAAGTATATGTATGTAAAATAAAAAAAACTATTGTTCATGTTTTTTTGTTTCATTTGAAAAACAGAGAACACTTGTGTGAAAAAAACTGTAGAGAATCTCTGAAATATATTTTTTAAAACTTTATATATTATATTCGGAGAGTAAGTAGTTGAGTTTTTCTAATTCTAAGTGTGGGTCTGTATATGAAAAATGTCTCCGAAAGTTTTGCACGTTGATTTTGGAAAAGAAACTAATTGTGAGATTGACAGACAGAAAATCAGAGTACGAGAAGCTCTGTCGGCTCTCGAAAAATTCCTTACACGTGTTCAAGGCATCATCTACGTGTCTTTTCTTTGTTCTTTCACAAATCCTAGGTAAATTCAATTATTTTTTAAAATATTTTAAAATAATATATTAAAATAATATTTTTTATTTTTTTAAAAATTAATTTTTAATATTAACCCATCAAAATCATTTAAAAATATAAAAAAATTATTTTAAAAAAAATTCTTTTACAATTAAAAACAAACATGACATGTTATTTTTCATGTAAAAGCAAATTATCAACAAGTAAAGGCCATTTACAAATACTTCAGGTGTTTCTCAACACATGCCTCAGAACAGAAGGTCCGACCGTTGTCGTTAACAGACTCAAAACTAAAAACACCAATCCAAAGCCGCCGTTCCGGTTCCAATACAAACGCCAGAATGGTGGCGTGTGAATAACACGCGCCCAATAGGAATGGGGTGTGACAGAGCCGTGGTTCCCGTCAGTCATACATTTGTTCAATCCTAAACATATCATGGAATATATATATATATATATAACAATCGTTGTAACTTTTTGAATAATGGAGGAAAGCTTTCGATTAAAAAAACAAATAGTTTGTTGTCCGGTCAAACCCATTGGGCCGAAGCCCATCCCCGAGGTCAAACAACTTTATTAATTATTTATTAAATGAAATATTTAAAAAAAAAGAATTATCCGTTTTATTTATATAATATTCACCCGGTTTGTATTAAATTGTGAATTGTACTATGTACTGACATCGTCCACCCTTAGCTATATTCAAAATGATAAACGGTCAACAACAACAACTACGTGTCTTTTCCCCTCACACACGTCTCCAACGCGCGATTTAAATTCCATTTCAACCCGCCATTAATTGTATCCCTTCATTCTATTCTCTCTCTCTGTATTTTTTTTTTGAACAAAAACATATAAAAAAATTTAAATATTTCTTTACTTTAAATTTTTAATCTTTTAGATTTTTTTATACACAAATATAAAGAATAAATTTTAAACATTAAAAATATTATTTTTATATATTTTTAATTAAAAAATATTTTAAAAAATAATTATTAATAGCTATAACTCCTAACATTAGTATAGGTGTAGCAAACGGGAAAAAAAATGCTTAATATAAAAGAAGTTAAATATTGTTGGAAAAGCACTATACTTCCACATTTAATAAACATTGAATATACTAACATTTTTATTCCTTCACCTAAAAAAATTAACATTATCAAATTAATCACAAATAAATAAGATTTTTTTATTTTAATTACATAAAAAAATAACTAAAATATTATTAAAAGCATAAAAAAAAATTAAACTAGCGTCAAATTTTCTCGCTCTCATTCTCAAAAATTATAGCTTAATTCTATTTGTTATTGATATATTAACTTTCTTCCTTATTTTTTTTTATTTTTTTTGGTTTTTTATAAAAGTTTTATTTAATTTTATTCTTTCATTTTAATTTTTGATATATTATTTTTTTAATTTGATCTTTATTTTTTTTATTTTTAATTATTTTAATTTATATTTTTTTCTTTAACTTTTTTATAAAAGTTTTATTGATTTTTAATCTTATCATTCAACTCAAATTGATGATATTATATTTTTTTAATTTAGTCCTTATTGTTTTGATTTATATTTTTTTCTTGATCATTTTATAAAATTTATTATTTTTTTCAATTTAACCCGTCAAACAAAAATTTATTTTTATTTTTTATATCAATCTTGATTCTCATTCTTTTTATTTTTGGGTACTTTTGCTAAACTGACTTTTCTTTTCAATTTTGATCTTTATTTTTTAATTGTTATTTATTTAAAATTCTTTTTTACAATTTATTCTTTAATATTTGATTAATTTGAAATTGAAATTTATGATTTTTTTAAATAGAGTGTTTCAGGTTTGATGACCTCAATCATGGTTTTAAAAATTAACTCTTGTTTTTTTTTAAAAAAAAAGCTTTATATTTATTTTTATATTTTTAATCGAGTTATTTTAATCTTATAATCTAGATCGGGGGTCTAATGAGTTATCCCGAGTTGATTCAATTTTAATTATCGTGATTATAAATTTATCATACTAACTTAAATCAAAAAATAAAATTAATTTATTCAATCTAGTTACATTTATAGCCTGCTTCATAATTTTTTTTAAACATGTTCACAAAATTTAAATATAATTTTTTAACATATAAAAATTTATATAATCCACCCACAAGAACCATAGCCACCATTGCTACTTTATATCTCACGTTAAAAATAATTCCACTAAACAATATATATATATATATACACACACACACACACACACAAAAAAGAAGAAGAAGAAGAAGATAAACGACAGATGATAGGCACATCATGATTTAGGCTGGAAGCAGCCCACCCTAAGCAAACAAGAAAACAACTACTTTGAAAGTCACCAAGAACATTATGCCATTATACCCCTTTATCAGAAATATCTTGTCCGGATTGACACACCAGCTTGATGCGTTCAGTATATTTTACGAATCAATTCAATTTTTCCAATTTTTTTTATAGAGATTGAAGAAGACGCAGATTAAAAAAAATAGTTTTTTTTTTTTTATATCTGGTTTTGTTAGTGAGCACATTGGTTTTTACGATTTAAAATCTCTTGTAAAAGAAACTAAAGTTTTTTATACTTTTCTATGTTTTAAATTATTAATTTATTTAATATTTTTAGATTATTTTGATGTATTGATGTTATTTTTAAAAATATTTTTAAAAGACAACATTATCACAATATTAAATCAACTCTTAAAAGAAAACTTGTTCAAATTTAAAATCTCGGCTGTCAAACTTCGCCTAGAGCTTAGATGGAAGAAAGGTTCCAAGTTTGTATTTGTGTATTAAAATAATATTTTTTTTATTTTTAAAATTTATATTTTATATTAGCATATTAAAATATCTAAATTTTTCAAAGTAGAGTGATGGGTGATAGCTTTACTTTCAAGAAAAAATAGAAAAGAAATCCCAAAGGAAAATATATTGGACAATGCTCTCGTTTAATGCAGTTGAATACGCTTTGCCCCTTGTTATCACAATGCAGACACAGAAATAAAAAAAAAAAAAAATGCATCAAGTGCTGGCCGGCAAAAGATCTTAAAACGATGAAGGACGAATCTATTAAGATGAAGCAAGCTAACCCCTCTATATAAATAGCACAAAAACCATCTTCACTTCTACAAAGCCAGGATTTGCTAGTTATATAAGCATGGGTTCTCTCAACAACAAACCCCATGCAGTCCTCCTTCCCTACCCTGCACAAGGCCACGTTAATCCCTTGATGCAATTCGCCAGACTTCTGCATTCAAAAGGTTTCCACGTAACTTTTGTCAACACTGAGTTCAATCATAGACGCTTAGTCCGGTCTAATGGGCAAGACTTTTTTAAGGGCTTGCTGGATTTTAGGTTCGAAACCATTCCTGATGGATTGCCCCCTTCCGACCGTGATGCTACCCAAGATATTTGGGCCCTAAGTGATTCTGTCAAGAAAAATTGCTTGGTTCCATTCAGAGAGCTATTAGCTAAGTTGAATTCATCACCTGAGTTGCCTTCTGTTACTTGCGTTATCTCTGACGGGCTAATGAGCTTTGCAATTGAAGCTGCGGAGGAACTGGGCATCCCCGAGATTCAATTCTGGACTGCCTCAGCGATTGGTCTGATGGGATTTTTGCAGTTTGAAGAACTTGTGAAGAGAGGCATTGTTCCGTTTAAAGGTACATTTTACTCCTTCAAAGCACTGTTTTTGCTTCTTCTTTTTCTCCTTTCTTGTTTTCTGGGGGACTATTTGTTATCAGAGAACAGCGTATGGCATTGTCCTGACTGGCCAAAATCTCCTGAAATCTGTCGGAAGGATCTTATGCCACTATTGTATTGTTCTTAGGTTTACGAGGATTCCAGTGCTGTAAAGTATGGTTTTTTTTTTCCTTTAATTATTAGTTGCGTCATGGAGTGCACTCCCTTTTTTTAGCCTCTTTTGTTATGGTCGCAAGCAAAATTCCAACAACTATTCACATTTTGTTCTGTTCTACGTAAAGTATTATTTGGCACAGCATCCTTGACTCCCCACTGTGTGACAGGATTTCTTTGTTAATGTCTTTCAGATGAAAACTTCATTAATGATGGAACCCTTGACATGCCTCTTGGTTGGATCCCTGGTGTAAAAAACATTCGCCTCAAGGATATGCCAAGCTTGATCCGAACCACTGACCCTGATGACATAATGTTGAAATTCATGAGTGATGAAGCACAAAATTGTTTGAAAGCTTCTGCTATTATCTTCAACACATTTGATGAGATCGAACATGTGGTGCTAGAAGCGATTGTTACCAAGTTTCCTCGCATTTATACTATAGGCCCACTTTCTTTGCTCGGAAGGAACATGCCTCCAACACAAGCAAAGTCACTTAGGTCTAACTTATGGAAGGAAGACTTGAAATGCTTTGAATGGCTTGATAAACAAGAGCCAAAATCAGTGCTGTATGTGAATTATGGTAGCATAACAGTCATGACAGACCAACAGTTCGAAGAATTTGCGTGGGGGCTGGCAAACAGCAATCATCCATTTTTATGGATAGTTAGGCCTGATGTGGTGATGGGAACTTCTGGATTTTTATCAAAAGAATATCACGAGGAGATCAAGAATAGAGGGTTCCTAGCACCCTGGTGTCCTCAGGATGAAGTACTTTCTCATCCATCAATTGGAGCTTTCTTGACACATGGTGGATGGAATTCTACCCTAGAGAGTATATCTACTGGTATACCTATGCTTTGTTGGCCTTTCTTCGACGAACAACCGATGAATTGCCGGTACTTGTGCACCGTTTGGGGCATTGGTATGGAGATTAACCATTATGTAAAGCGCGAGGAAGTTGAAGCCCTTGTTAAGCAAATGATGGAAGGGGAGAAAGGGAAGCGGGTGAAAAACAATGCTTTGCAATGGAAGAAGAAAGCTGAAGCTGCAGCCAGTATTGGAGGCTCATCCTACAATAATTTCAATAAATTCATAAGTGAGGTGCTGAATTTTAAAGGAAATATACACTGATCTTAAGGAATTAAATCTATCTCACATTTCTGTGGAATCCATCCTGTTGATTTATTCCACAAGAACGAGAGAGGCAAGCTGTTGCACATTAATTAGCTATATCTGTGCATTATGGGAAATAATAAAACCTAGTACGAACAAAACCAGCAAAGGATTGTATTGGTTTTGGTTCGAGATAATCAATTATCTCTGCCCCCAAAGGACTGAGTCTGTATGGTTCTTTTGGTGGCAATTACTATTCTACTCTTGTATGAACTATTTTGGGTGAAAAAAAAGAATATGTGACCTGTTATTCAAATTCAGAAGCAAGGCACATCTAGCCAAATCATACAGGACCACAAAGCCAATAATGTCTACCATTTTCGACGGTTCCAAAATCATGTTTGTCAGCACAAAATCAATATTTAATCATTTCTCTCAATGTCTTCACACTCTAGGTTATCTATCTGTCTCTTTTCATTACATAGGTAAACACTATAAAGAGTTGCAACTTGCAAGCTTCTCTGGCTGAGTTCAAATTTTGTTTTATTTCAAGAAAAGAAATCCATCATTACAAGCTTTATATGATAAAAACATGCTAAATTCCTGAGGAAAACAATTAGGGGCAAACTAGAATTTGTCCTTAAATTGCTGAGTATGCAGTCACCACCATTGCAGCAGAGAAATTCTGTAGACAAAAGGGATGTCATGCTTGTCAATGCTGGACAATAGAGATTGAACATCATATTGCTCCTGACTGTCCCAACCGGTCTTCAATGCTACAAATTAAGTGGAAAAGGCACAGAACTATCGGACTACTTGAAGCGCACTTCCATCTCTCAGCTTTCATTTGTATGCGCTTTATATGGTGAAGCATACATTTTGTGAAATGCTGCTAGAAATAGAAAAAACTCATTATTACAATACCATGTTTTATTTTTCTGGTTTCTAGCCACAACAAAAGACCTCAATGAATTTTTCCAAGTTATTGTAAGATGATCCTCCAATATCGATAGCTACTTCTACTTTATTTCTCCACTCCGAAGCCTTTTGCCTAATTGGCTTCCACCGTCCCTTTCTGTCATTTCCTTAACAAAACTCTCGGTCTCATCTCGCTTTACATCATGATTGACCTCTATTCTGATCTCCCATCTGGTGCATGATTATCGGCAATTGGTATGTTGATCAGCAAAATAGGCCAGCAGGTTATTGGAACGCCACTGGATATCGTTTCCATCATGGAATTCCACCCGCAATGTGTTAGGAATGTTGAAGTTTGGTAACAAAAGCTAGAATAGGATTACTTGGTAGTAATTTACTAGCCGATAACATTATCTAGATTAGGATATTTTTTTCAATTTATTTGTTTAAATTTATCTAAAATTAGACTAGCTTGTTATACAACTTCTTTGATAAAAAAGAACATAGCTGGTATGTTTCTTTAGTGTTTTTATTTTTCTATAATGTTTGTTTTCTTCTATAAATAAAACATTGGAGATGGTAGTAACCAATTGAAATATTTTTCTGCTCCTTGTTCTTTCAACTGTAAAGACTTTGTTCTTTGTTCTTTTTCTTTGTTCATAAACATTAGTCTATTCTTTATATATTAGTATTTTTTACAATAATTGGTATAGGGCTCTTTTGATCTTTGAAGGGTTTGTGAGTGAAAACACAAGAGGATAGTGAGGTTAAATCAAAGCTTTCTGCTTTGAAGGGTTTGTGAGTGAAACAGGAGAGATTAAGTTAGTTTTTTTTAAGCAATGGATTCTGCAAATTTTCCAGCAAAAACACTAGTGTTCACAAGGCAAAATTATGGTATGTGGGCTGTAAAAATAGAAACATATCTCAAAGCTTTTGACTTGTGGGAGATAATGGAGAGTGATAAGCAACCCACTCCATTAGGAAACAATCCTACGATTGCACGAATGAAATATTTCAATAAAGAAAAGGCAAAGCGATTCAAAACTCTTACTTGTCTTCATAATTCTGTGAGTGAAGAAATCTTCACAAGGATTATGGCTTGTAAATCTGCCAAAGAAATGAGGGATAAATTAGAAGCAGAACTTCATGGTGATGAGAAGTCAAGGAAGATGCAAGTTTTAAATCTCAGAAGGCAGTTTGAAGGTTTGAAGATGAGAGAAATCGATACCATCAAGACTTCTCTTCTTAAATTTCAAAACTTGTGAATCAAGTGAGACTTTTGGAAGAAGATTTTCCATATTCAATAATAGTAGAGAACATTTTGGTAAGTCTACTAGAGAAATTTGAACATAAAATTTGCTCTTTAGAAAATTCTAAAGATTTCTCATAAATGAGTTTGCAAGAACTAGTAAATGCATTGCAAGCTGTGGAACAAAGACAAGCTTATAGACAAGAAGGAACAAGTGAAGGAGCTCTTGTTGTAGTTTACAAGGAGAAGAGTCGGGCTAAGAATTTTTACAGAAACAATCAAGAAGAAAAAAGAGAAAAAAGAAGAGATTGGCAATCTAATAACTGGTAACAGAACAACAACAACATCTTCACTAAAGGGAAAGAGAAAAAAGAACATTTTCCTGCTTGCAAATTATGTCAGAAAACAAATCATCTTGAAGCTTGGTGTTGGCTCAAGAATGTACAATGCCGAAACTGCAAGCTATTTGGTCACATCTAAAGATTCTGTAAAAACAAAGCAGAAACTGTAAAACAAGTTTAAGTAGCCGAGAGTTCAAAAGTAGAGGAAGATCTTTTATTCATGGCTGCAATATAGGAGATGTGTAACACAACCAAGGTTAATGACTCATCATGGCTTATTGATATCTTGAAGCTTGGTGTTGGCTCCAGAATGTACAATGCCGAAACTGCAAGCTATTTGGTCACATCCAAAGATTCTATAAAAACAAAGCAAAAACTGTAAAACAAGTTTAAGTAGCGGAGAGTTCAAAAGTAGAGGAAAATCTTTTATTCATGGTTGCAATATAGGAGATGTGTAACACAACCAAGGTTAATGACTCATCATGGCTTATTGATAGTGGTTGCACTAATCATATGACTGTAGATATGAGCTTATTCAAAGATGTGGATAAAAGCTATCTATCTAGAGTCAGAATTGGCAATGGAAACTATGTGAAGGTTGAAGGAAAAAGAGCAATTGAAGTAGAAACATTGTTAGGTACAAAAACTTTTAAAAATGTTCTTTATGTACCTAAGATCAATCAAAATCTAATTAGTGTGGGACAATTAATTGAATTTGGTTACTCAATATTCTTTAATGATAGAATATGTGATATTAAAGATAAAAATGGAGTGCTACTGCTTTCTGCAAAAATGATGAACAGAAGTTTTAATGTTGATTGGAGAGAAGTATGTTTGAGTGCTAACACTTGTGAGAATAATGAATCTGTTCTTTGGCACAAACGGTCGGGGCACTTCAATTATGCAACTTTAAAGAGAATGGTTGACTTGCAGATGACTTACGGTTTATCAGATATACAGGAACAAAAAAGTTTTTGTGAAGCCTGTCAGTTAGGAAAACAAACTAGAGTTGTTTTTCCTGATAATGTATTCAGAGCACTGTCAAAACTCCACCTTCTACACACAAATGTATGTGGGCTGATGCATAATAAATTATTGAATGGTTCAAAGTATTTTCTTCTATTTGTTGATGTTTATAGTAGATTTTGCTGGGTTTACTTTCTGAAATCAAAATCTGATATGTTCGTTAAGTTTGTTAAATTCAAAGTAGTAGTTGAACTAGAAATAGGTTTAAAGATCTGATGGAAAGAATGGGTATGTGTAGCTTTGGAACCAAGAAAGAGTATTGAAGTTTGATACCAAAGCTGGAACAGGATTACTTAGTAGTAATCTACCGTATTGCTATCTATCTGTTAGCTGATAGTATTATCTAGATTAGGATGTTTCTTTTAATTTATTTGTTTAAGTTTATATAGGATTAGACTAGCTTGTTATACAACTTTTTTTGATAAAAAAAAAACATAGCTAGTATGTTTTTTAGTGTTTTTTTTTTTCTATAATGTTTATTTCCTTCTATAAGTAAAATATTAAAAATGTCAGCAACCAACTTAAATATTTTTTTGCTCATTGTTCTTTCAACTGTAAAGACTTTGTTTTTTGTTCTTTATTCTTTTTCTCTGTTTATAAACATTAGCCTGTTTAGCCTGTTATTTATGTATCAGTATTTTTTACAAAAAGGAAAACACTAACAACTGATTGACGTGCAAGAACTAAATCAACTTACTAACAATCCTCTGCAATCAATTTGCTCCAAAAACTCTTCTTGCAAGATCGCAGAATCACCCGTCACTACATCAGGAATGATTTCCATAAAAACGGCTGTTTTCTATTTGCCACGCCCCAAGCAAATTCTTTCAAGTGCATCGCTGTCATCACTGTCACACTTCCATAATTTATGTGCACCACAGAATTAATTTCTCTTTTATCAAGCCAATCAAGACAGTTCGAATCTTCTTTCCATAAACTTGAACTAAGTGACTCGGATTTACTTTCAGCTGCGATATGCTTTGCAAGCAAGGGAAGAGGACCCATTGCATAAATGTTAGGGGACTTGGTAGCAGTTATAGCCTCTAAAGTTCAATTAATTTTCTGCTTCTGATCCCAAAAAATCAAACATTATTTCATTGTTTGAGGTTCTGATAAAGGTTGGCATGTCGTTTAGTCGGGTGTTACTCAAACCAGGGATCCGATCAATAGGTGTATCGCCATCTCGAATAGAAACTTTCTTTTGAAACAATGAAGGGACGAATTTTGTCCTTGCTTAGTAGAGAAGTAGACGGGGGGCATACCGCATGCCATCTTGGATAGTAGAAAATAGCTGAAGCAAGAAAAGGAGAGAAATGCATACGTTTGAATGAAATGATCCCTCTTCTCGCGAGTTCACTGAGATGTAAGCATCCCATGAAGCTGCAAGCTGAGGCTGACCAAAACTGAACCTGGGGAATGTTATACTCTTCTGCAGCTTTTATGCATAAGCTCACGATTCCAGCAGAGATTATGGAAGCACAGGAAGCACATTAGATGATGAATTCAACTGCGTAAGTAGCTCTTTAAATGGGGCCAAACAACTTTTCCTTGTTGAATCACACAAGGATGGAACATCATGTGTTGCGTCAAAATCAGATGGTGTCAAAGGCAAACCATCTGGTATGGTGTCAACCAGAAATCGGGCAGGCCTCTAGTAGAATCTGGTCCTCTGGACCTGATTAATCGCCTATGGTTGAACTCTGTTAACAAAAGTTATGTGAAAGCCTCTTGTGTGTAAAAGCTTTGCTAGGTGCATCAGAGGGGTGACATGGCCTTCCCAAATTTTGAAAAGGAAGGGAAAGATTCACAATCGATTTAGCACCACATGCATAGACGTTATCTGTGGATGGATAATGTAAAATTCAATGATGTCGTGTCGTAGAAAATAATTCTAGGTGTCTCAATCGTTCAATGGATTCCTAGTCGCAGAAGTTTGTGCGGTTGAATTGATTTCTATCCTATTGCCCTTGCTGTAACTTGCATGCTTGTGTGAGGTGGAGGAGCAGCTTCTTTTCTTGGCTAGCTGCTATCAATGGAAGCTTGGCCAGTCAAACATGCGGAGTATGATAATTTGTTTGTTATTGAGTTTTGTGATGTCTTCTTGGTCTCAAAATTATTTGCCTGAGCATCTTCATTCGACATTGAGTAGTTGAGTTGTCGAGGGAAAATGACATGTCCAGAACAGAGGACTCGAACAGGTGCATTAATGGACCTTGGACAGTTGGGTACTCTCTGCTTCCTCATTGCCAGAGCATAGATTTGGCATGAAAAACTCCATCACTAAATTCTTCTTTTTCATGTTAAAATGCGTGAGATATGTAGTTCATCAAAAAATAATAGAGATACAAATCTCTGTGCTTCAAGCAATTAACATAGTTCTTGATCAGCAACATTGTAAGAAATAATTTTTCTGCACAACCAGATGCTATAGACTTCTTGAGAAGAAAATGACCCCCCCAGAAATATAGTTCTTGTGCGGCTATGCGTGCGAGAGAGAGAGACGAAGGTATGACCTGTATCACATCTTGCAATCAAATTTCCTTTCATCTTTACAATTGATGTGAAAGAATAATTAAATACTCGACTATTTGTTGATGTTTCGTTTATTTCCTACCATCATACACTGCTTTGTATTTGGAGTAGACCAAAGGGGTGATTTGAACAAAAATACAAAACAATGGTTGATAGGAACCTTTTGAATAGTGATTTGCGGTGTACAGCCAACGCTTTGTGTAAACTCTACGGGTTCTGAATATTTCAATCAAGCAAACTGCTGAATTTCCTAGCTAGCTGGCAGCAACAACATTTTGAAGCAACGACTCTAAGTCTTCTAATCTGCACAGTTGATGAGAACCCAATACTGGATTCGATATCAACGAGAAGAAAGGTGCAAAAAGGTCCACTGTATAACAATTAAATATGCATCCTACCTCACATTACTCAAATCAGGGTAAATTGCTATAGCATCTTTGAAATCCTGAAATGAATTAGAAGTTGAGTAGTAATTATCAATTGCAAGCAAGTGGCAAGACAGTATTTTTCCTTTTCCTTTTCAGGACAGCTACAGAGGAGGGAAACAACTAACCTGATCAGCTGTTGAAGGAGTGTGAGTGATAACACATGACATTCCAGCTGTTGTTGCCGCCTAAACATAAAAATTTTAGTTTCTTTTAGCGTTTGATTTATCTATATTTAATTTTCTCATCTATTTCTTTCAACAAGAGTATTGCATGCTAATGTACTTATTTACGCTTCAAATGAGCATTGGTCGAACAGAATGTCAGAACACAATTGTCATGTGTATAAACTAGTGATAAAGCAGTCTATCATTTGCATGACTAACTCAGTAATATTTTATTATTTTTGTGAACCAATATGATTTTCCACCAAAGAAAAATAATATGTATAGCTATCTTTGACTCGAATCAAAATATCTTGGTTTGAAGTCAATCAAATCTTAGAATTTAGATATCTACCTGGAGACCAATGACACTATCCTCCACCACCAAACAATCCCTCTCTGACACACCAAGCCTCTGCAAGGAATAAAGTTTCGGAATAAATCCTGATAGAGTCCAAGTAGATTAAAAGAAGACATGGCAACATGGATAAGCTAAACTGCTCAGTACGCCTGATTTATGATTCAACATGGATAAGCTAAACTGCTCAGTACGCCTGATTTATGATTCATGTCATGTTAAATACCTTGGAAGCTGTCACATAAATTGATGGATCTGGCTTCTTTTCCTTGACATCATCACCTGCATGTAAAAAAACAAAAGAACACTATATGGATCATAATAATAATATAAAAACAAAAACAAAAGGAAAAAAAGAAAAGAAAAAAAACACTTGAAAAAACAGAAACAACCTTAAAAGTGACTTATTTAACTGAAACCAGACAAGGTGGAATGAAAGCAACATGTTCACTTAAATTAAAAAAAAAAATCTCTCGTGCACTAATTCACCATATCTCATAAAGAAGTGAAGAGTTTAATTTAATGAAAAGTTTCCAAACACAAAATAATAATAATAATAATAATTCACTTGCAAGAAATAACAGTAAATTAAACCAAATTGATACCATCTAATGTTCAATAAGCCTTGCATATCACATGACTAAGGACATTAGACATGCCAAATTTTAAAGTTGTTGATTGTTGACGTACCTGCAAGAAAGCAATCAAGGCCTTGAAACCGCTCCTATAACAAGGAAGAAACAAGAAATGAAAGAACAGAAGGGGTTGAAGCATAAAAACAAGGACACTTTTTAATTGTATGATGGTGGACAATATTAGAGGACCTACCATTCCTATAAGGTTCTCAAGACAGAGTATAACTGAACTTTTAGTTGCTGCAGAGCAAACAGCTAGCTTTTTTCCCTAAAAAAGAAAGTAGTAAAAGAATTCAATCACAGCGTGCAAAACCAAGGAGCATTATAGAATTCCTTAAAACCAGTAAAATCATGATAGAAAGAAAAATTCAAAGCATAAAAGAGAAACAAATAGAACAAACTATAGTTCACAAAACACAACTGAGACGTTCTTATCAGAACCCATTTTCGTTACGAATGAAGAGATACATATCGAATGAGTTAACTCAATGAAGTTTGATAGAAAAAAGCATGAAGCGTGACAAGCTATTACATTTCTCAAAATGGTAAAAATGTCAACTTACAGCAGCCTTAGCCTCATCCATCAACCTCAAAACGCCAGGCCTGGGCTCCACCTGATGGAAAGGATAATGTAATCCATAACATCATCATCCCTACAACAAAAGATTAACAAAAAAGAAGAAGAAGAAATGGCTCCTTACAGTTCCAGATTTGATTATTTCTTTGTACCTTTCAGTTTTCCAATCCTGTAACGTTTTACAAAATTTCACTTGTAAGAGAAACTTAAAACAAAGGAATCAGAGCATTAATTAAGACCTGAAGAGTATCAATCAGCTTAGCACGGCTCTCATCATCCTCCGGTGGCTTCTCAAATAGGTTGGAAGACGGCCATCCATGCTCCTTAAAATACCTAATCATCAAAACCAAATTATTTATTTATTTTGTTGAATCTGGTAATGATAGTAGTAGTAACGAAAAAAGTAAAGAGAAGAAGACCATCGCATTTTAGGTTTGCCACCACCGATACGATTCTGGAGCACATCATAGAACTCGGGAGACCAATTGAGAGGGAGAGAAGAAGAGCAGATAACATTGAAGTGAGCGAAAGCGTCATTATAAGCTTGGCGATGGAGGTGTTCAGATTCTAAAATAACTCCATCGCAGTCAAATATTAGAGCTTCAAGAGAAGCTGAACCGGCAGAAGAAGAGACGACGTTGAGGTGACGAGGAGGAGGAGAGTAATGTTGTCGCTGTCGTTGTTTTATAGCGGTGGTTTTGAGGTGGAAAGGGAAGAGGGTAGGGGATTGAGAGAAAGAGAGGAAGCTGGAATGAGAGATTAGCAGAGAAGAAGCCATGAGCAGTGAGTGACTGGCTCACTGGTCCGACTCTGTGTCTATGTGGAGGAGGATGTTTGTTTTCTTGGGATGTGAAAGTGGCGGTCTGGGAGGCTCTGGCTTCTTTTTTCTTGTGTTTTTCGTGTGGCTGTGATTTTGAGAACGCTTGCGAACGCGGCTGCCGCGCGTTATCAAGATTTTTTTAATTTGTTTTTTTTCTTAACTAATTGTTTATATATAATATGCAAGGCTGGCCCAAAATTAAAAACCCGGTCTAAAACTTGGCAAACTTTCCTTGAAAATGAGTTAATTTGGGAAAGAAGATTTGAACAGCGGAAACAGTCAAACAATTAATAAGGTTGTTTTCATTTTATTAACGCCTCCGATGGCCGATTGGTTTTATCAGATACATTGATCAAGTTTTTTTATTTTTATTTTAAATATTTTATTGCATATAGAAAACATCAAGCGGATAAACACCGAAAGTAGATTTAAAAAACTGCCCCAACATCAAGCGGATAACAAGCTAGTATATACAATAACACCACCTCATAACTCATAATCCTGCAAATGAACACAAATAATTACAGTACCCCTAGTGTTATTGTAGCTCAGCTGCTTCAGTTTTTCATCAACCTTGCAAGAGAATTTTCCAACAGAGGAAAAGAAAGGGGTCCAGGACCAAAAGGCATGAGTCTGTTACATGGAGCGTGGAAAGTTTGTGCTGCGTCAGTTCAAAAGAAGCCTTTTGCTCACAGTCATGGAACTCTACAACATTGCTACAAGGTTGTGCCTCCACCATCTGACATAAGAGATGCAGCGGCGGCTGCGGCAGTCGGAACAACCCCTGTTGAAACACCTGGTTTTGACAAGTGCAGAAGCCTGCAAAATATACACCAAAAGTTTCAGAAGAATTAGAATTCATCACTGACAAAATTCAAAAGAAAAACCCTTTCTACGCCAACTATGAGGAATGCTAGTAGTTTCCAATTGCACACCAATGACCCTTGCTATGGGGTAAACATATAGGAAACTGTCCAGAAGGGATTGCAACTATTCATGTAAGGGTTCATAAAGCTTACGGTGCAAGATATTCGCAGAAAGACGACACTGCAGCAGCAACTTCGGAATAATTTTCAGACGTTGCAGGAGCTGTTACTTCTACCACCTGTATACCAAGGGTTACTGGCACAGTATCATCAATGGCATGTAGTTTTAGCATCTTATTAATAGAAGACACTGTGACAGTTATCCAAGCACCCCTTTTGAAATGGAAGGCGGATCCAACTCTTAGCAACTCATGGTCTAATTTGTAGCCAAGTGCATAAAACAATCGAAGCACATTCTTGCTTGCTTTGCTTTCAACCATATTCCTAACCAGAACTGAGATTTGCTCAGCACCAGCACCCCTCAGCGCACCCCCAACATGCTTGACCGTCCTATGGCATAAAAGAGACTATAAAGAAAGCAAGAAGCACACAGGCATCTCGAAGCATAATGAAAACAACTACAAATCTCAACCATCCGGTAAAAAAATCACGTATCTTACCAGGGTTCAGGATGCTCAAGATTACACAACAGGCGAACCTCTGAAGTCACATGCCCTGAGAAAAGGAGGTCACAAATTTCCATGTTAGAATGGAATATTCCATAGATTCCAAAGTCCTGATATTTGATATATATTCTGTTTCTGGGTCGACGAGCTTCTATTGATATGTTTTCAGCTAACTATTAACTATAGAAAGATGATTTAAACCATACAAAGAAATGAATATGGCAAACTTGAGATAATGATGCTGAGGGAAAAGGTTTTTGACATCTTTACTCAAGCGCTTAAAAATTTGTAAGCACCACCCCTGGCAAAAATGTGAGCTTACCAAGGTTTGGACCACTTTTAAGGTATAATTCATGGACCCGTAGGTGTTCTTTATGAACACCACAAAGACCTTGAAGAAGAATCTCAAGGGCCTCTACATGCTGCAACATAAAACAAAACAAAAAAAAAATTAAGAACGGGTTCAAATATTTAAATTATAAATCAAACGTTACGCCTGTGTGCCTTCTATTTCTAACAAAAAACTAATCTCTAAGGAATATATGTAAGAACCATCTAGATGGAAAAGCTTAAGAGACAACTTGACAGTGCTAAGATTTTCAAGTACGAAAGTAAATCTACAAAAATCTCTACCAAATCTACAATGTAAAAACACCAAAGATAGGTAACATGATAATGCTCAGATTTCAATTGTAAATACAGAAAACAAAATTTTCCAAACAGAGGAACAAAAAATATAAATCGGTGTAGAATGATGGATCAGAGTCCTGGCTTGGAAACTCCAAGAGAGATTGCTCAGTTTATTCAGCATCAATCATTTGGGGAAATAACCAGAAATTCCATCTCTAACATATGGAACCGACTTCTATTTTTAGTAAGTTAAACAGAGCTTCTTATAACTCAGACAAAGCATGAATATAAACACAATATCAAGTAAATTATCCCATCTCAATCTAAAGACAGACTAGATAAATTTAAATAAAAGTAAAATAATGGATCAGATTTGTGGCTTGCAATCTCCAAAGAGAAGAGATCGTTTGGTTTATTCAGCATCGATCATTTGGGGAAATAATAATCATCTCCATCTCTAACATGTAGAATAGAAGTATCTTCTCAGTAAAAATAAAAAGTATGCTGAGTAATCATTGATATTAAAAGAAAGAATATATAGCAAACACTGAACCGAACCCATTATGCATTAAATAAAATAAAAAACAAAACCCGGCATGGACACTTTATGAACTTAATAGATGCGAAAAAAATGGATCAGATTCATGGCTTGGGTTCTCTGAAAAGAGAAAGATCACACGGTTTATACGGCATGAAATAATCATTACTTCCATCTCTAGCATTCAGCATCTACATCTCACCTTGGTAAAGAAAATAAAAATATTTGTACCAATTATAAATAACAGAAGCATTAATATGCAGCCATTATTGAAACGATTATCTGGTAAAAACAGACACATAAACATTTACAAATTACATGGATGTAAGACAATGGATCAGCTTTCTGGCTAGTAATCTCTGAAGAGAGAGATCACTCATTTTATTCATTACTGATCATTTGGGAAAATAATCATCATTTCCATCTCAAGCTTATTAAGTCTGCACCTCTACTTAATATTAAATAGCACAACATACAAGTTGCAACTATCGATGCATGGTGAAGGTCCGAACATATATCCAAAACCATGACCAGTTATCCCTAAAAGTAAAAATTAGAAACTCATTATAAATTTAAACAGACAATAAATAATGAAAAAGATCCTGGATTGTAATATTTGAAAATAATCATTTAAGAAAACTATCAATGGCTGTATCTCAAAATTACAGAATCCACATCCATTCAAAGCAAAGTTCAAGAAAACTGCTTATGAAAACGGATGAAACAAAACATATAACCAATTGTTCTCAAACACAAATAAATTTAAACGAACGAATAACGAGGATCAGATTCCTGGGTTGGATTCTCCGAGAAGAGAAATATTGCTCAGTTTATTCAGCTTCGATTATTCGGGGAAAAAATGATCACTTCCATCACTAGATTTCACAAACATAAATCTCTTCTTATCAAGTTTAAAAGTACTTCTAGAGACTAACCTTAATCATCAATAACCAAAAGGCGAGCATAAAGCCCACACCAAAACCCACTGCTCTTTTACAAAACAAAATTCAGTATTCACCAGAATTACCCAAATAAGCACACAAGAGATTTTCAGAACAAGAACCATTGGAATTACACACACTAAAAAGGGTCCTTAAGGAACACATACCTGTGTCTCTATAATTCCCTGTACCACACACTCCATCGTTACTCCCTTTATTTCATGTCAAAAGCATTTCCTGCATAGAAATTCTCAACTTTAAACGAGAACCCAATTGCAATATGACAATGTAGAAACAAAAAATATCAAGAACAAAAAAAAAATGGTGGGGGAGGGGGGGGTGTTGTCGTCAAGGAGATGAATGGAATGGAATGGAATGGATTATCGGACTCGTCATCTTTTCTTTAATCATCACATAGAAAACCCAGATCACCATACTCGCAAAACAATTTGAAAAAAAAGAAGAAGAAAAAAGAAAAAAGATGGTACAGAAAAGTTTGGAGGATTGGTTGGTTACCTTGCGGGGCGGAGCATAGCGCTGAAAGCTAAGCTAAAGGGCAGCCTCTTTGAAGATGAGAGAGAGGGGTGGTTTCGGGTTTTTATCTCGCAGTAAGAACACAGAAGTACGATAATAACCCGACCCAGTTTTCTACACAAGTGGATTGGGCTCATCAAAAAGCTAGGCTTTGGCAACCCTGGCTTGTAGACCCACAAGCCCGCAACTATGTGGCCCAACAAGAAAAGAGCGCCTTTACCGATTCTTTTCCTTTTATGGCTCGAAAAGAAAAGTAAAAAGCTATTATCCGTGTGGGATTGTTGCTCAAATAAAGATTAATTAAAATTTATTTTTTATTTAAAATTAATATTTTATATTTTTAGATCGTTAATATACTAATATTAAAAAAATAAAAAAATTATTTTAATATATTTCTAAATAAAAAATACTCCTAACTCACGTAGCTGTAGATGGTGTGACCATATCTTTGCATATATATAGACCTTGCTTGCTGCTCAAAGCTGTCATATAACACCCACAGTCCTGAGTTGCAGGTCACGGTGTCCTGACTTGCTAGTGGTAAGTTTATCTTTCTCTTAAGCTAGCTGAAAAATGACAATTAGGCTACAGATAGATGTTGACCAGGTTAAAATGATGGCCTTGAAGACTTGGAAAAGCCATTGATCTTGGAGGAGAAAATTGTTGTGATTAGCGACAATGATGAAACTATTCAAGAACAAGAGATTGCTGGATTTGTTGGGATTGTTCTGAATTGACTCTGTAAATTGCAGGGCTTCCTTGAGCAAAAACTGGAACAATAGGCATTCAGGTATTTTTAATGGACAAATCTGAAAGACGACCGCTTATAATGGTAAATATCTGCTCAAAAAATTCTAATTACCTTTCAAATATTAATTCGGTGAGACAACTTCTACTGACTACCAAACATGCCTTTTGTTCATGAAGACCTCAGCAACTGGGACGTTTCTAGGCTCTTTCTTTCTTGGGGTAAATCACTAAAAAAATGTCTAGCTCAATGCATATTTTGTTCTTCCTGTTTGGCTTCAAAGGTCTGAATTTGTTTTCATGATCTTTGTGATTCAGGGGGATGGCTTGCTGCTTGAGTGAGTACCAATATTAGCTGTCTCAGGAAAGTGCTGGTAAATTTCCTACTATATTACTGGTAAAATTTAACAGTTTCTTCTCATTTTCCAAACGAAATCAGATTTATGTATCAGCATTTTCAATTGGAACGGGTGCAGTTAGCTGAGTGACCATGTCCTAGGTAGCTGCCAGGAAAAGCGAAGCAAATTTTAATCTAATCTTAGTATATCGATCGGACTAGGAGTTAGCTCCAAGCTATGGAAATCCAAGTTTTTTTATATCATAGACTTTTTCCTGTGGCAGAATTTCCCAATTAACATTACAGGGATTGCTAGGAGCTTGATGGTGCTACTGAACTGATGGATGCTTAGGCAGCTTCTTTTACGTTCAACTTTCTTTTTAAGGACTAGAGTTCCTCTGGTAAGTTAAAAAACTTCTCAAGTCAGGCCAGATTCCTTGCAAGCCTAACGTCACCCTGCTAAATGATATGAAAAGGAAAAGGCCATGCACAAATTTCTTATCAAGAATGTCTCCTTCCTTCCAAGACGAGAGTCTTCATTAGTGATTCAACCATGCAAGAGACAATATGGTATGACAGATCATTATCTGCTAGCTGGGTCAAACGCAGGTACACTCTAGATAGGCTCAATCTGTCATCCCCAAAGCCATTGACAGAAACAAACCCAAATGCAGAAAAAATGGAATAACCAAAGAAACAAAGGCAAACTCAAATGGTTAAACAGAAAGTCTGAGCTTGTCAACAAGTTAATGGCAGTTTTTACACTTGCTAAACGTTAACTCTTCTAGCCGGGACCCCAGATAATAAAGCCAAAAGGACTCGATAGAACAAGTCTTTTACACTGTATGGAAGTTTCAATATGTACGATTAATGCTGACAACGTCACGTGTCTAAAGAATCCCAGGAAGCTCCTTTAATCACAATTTCAAAACAGATTAAGGAGAGAAATTATGATTATCATGATCGACATTTTGATCCATCTCTAATTAATTAGTTAGCTTAAAGGATTGTAAAAATGGTCACCACAGCGACATTTCCAACCCAGTGGCTTATAATTTGAGTACCTGTTATTACCTGCAGGATATGGGTCAAAAAAGGGATCAATGATGCTAGTTTTGGTTGAAACCGGCTGCGCTGGTCGGTTTTGATTCGGCAGAGTAGGCACTTGAACTGCCATGCAAGGGTGGCAACCATTGCATTTGTTGTGGCAACTTGGTGGGGTTGAACCTAGCCTTGCCTTCTCCTCAAATGCTGCACCCTACTCGTGAAATTAAAACCTCAGCTAACTCGCACCATCAAGACAAGCCAAACCCATAAACTAGAGAGAGAGAGAGAGAGTTGTGATTTGAGTTGAGTTGAGTTGAGGCTTACCTCATGAGAAGCAATTGGAGGTTGCAGGTCGTGTTGAGCAAAACAAAAGACCGTAGGGAGCAGAAAATGTAACAAAACAGTGGCACTGAACAGAAAACATGGGTGATAAGAACCCATTATAGTCTTGAAATAAGGTTTTTCATGTTTCATGACCAAGAAGCAGTAGCCATAGCAACAAAATCGCTAGCAAAGATGTTAAGAACCAGGTGGCAGTTCGTTTCTTGAAACAGATCTCCCTGGTCACCACAATAATAAGCAGCTAAAGAAACAAAGGAAGGAGCGAATCTGGTTAGTTGTTGTTCATAGACATGATTAATGAGAGTGGAGAGGTAGGAGTTGATGAATTAAATGGCGAGGTTAAGCGGTGGTTGGAGGAGATAGAGAAAGATAGAGTACATCGTGATTGCTGCGAGAGTACTGGCAGGGAGTGAAAGGAACAACACAGGTGGGGAAAACAAATTGGGAGAATCCACACCAGAAGTGAAGGGCCCTTCGCTTAAATTCCACATTTATTAAACGTATAGTTTTGGTTTCAGATCTCGGAATTTGGGGTTTGACTGCGATTGATTTACACCTAAAAATAGAAATCCTCGAAGAGAGGAAGTTTTTTTTTTTTTCCTTGTGTCTCAGGCATGAAAATGGAGGGCGTTTATTTGTCCCTGGTTTGTTTTTGCTTGTCCAGTATTAGGGTCCATAGAATCTGATAAAAAATCAACCTTACAGTTTTAGAATTTTTAGCAAGTGAGCTTGTAGCTCCGATGTTAAGTAAAGAGTTAATTAGAACAAAAGGATATTTATGATCCGAACATACAAACAGTTTTAGACTTTCTAGAAGAGAAAATTACACTTTGTCCTTTAGACCAGCAAAAAAAACAAAAAAGAAAGAAGAAGAAAACGAGGCCTCGATGTATTACTAGGCATAGCAAATTAATCAACATAACATGAAGGTTGCATCATCGTTATGCTGATATTTAACATGATACAAACTTTCGGCGTAAAATTACAGCGAGACAAACAACAAATTTTCCCTGATTAAGCCTACATGAAGTCCAGAGCTTATAAGTGGATGGGGAACAGATATCATTCAAGTCATTATGATCTTTTTTCTGCAAGTACTTAATTTTTCTTGTATATATATATGAAACTCTTATCTTCTTTAAATTGGAAGCTACATTAATTAGAAATGTAGAAAGTGGCTGGACAATTGAAGAAGATCCATGACCAAATAGATTAATCTTCTGCGTCCAGGAGAAGTCAATCCTTGTGTTGATTCTGTTGAAGACCCTCAGGCATGTATCGAACTGCATTCGGCTTGAACAAATGGTTATGAAGATAGAATCGTGCATACATTTAGTTAATTGTCACATGAATGAGTAAATCAATAATACACTTAAAACCTTTCAGAAGGAAAGGGATGCTAATATATATCAATTAAGATATCATAACCTCTTTTTCATATCCATGATCTATCATCTTTAACGCATGCAAGAATAAACTTCCTCTGCTCATTTCCAGTGTGATTTGTCAATCTAACCAAGATAAACACATGATCTACACAACCACCGGCTAAAAAGTTCAAGTCTTTAGTAGAATCGAGGATAACCCATTTACAGTCACATGCAGAAGTTGAGAAAAACTGAGGAATTTTGGACTGCAAAAGATCATAATCCTCATTAAATGGTGATACTTAAGTACAATAACTGGCTAGCATCGCCATACATGCTGAAATGTACAAGAATATAGATTATGACAAATCATCATTGCTGTAGTTTTATAATGAGATATGTACAGTAATGAAATATACTGTAACACAACGCACTAGTTAAGATTTTATGAGAAGAGGTGATGAGTGTAAGTATTGCAAAAAAAAAAAATGTTGCCTGACCTAATACATGAAACTTAAAAAAGACAATAGAAGGAGTGAATCATGTCAGTGTTAAGTAGAAGTACAAAGGACCTAACATGCCATGCAGAAAAAAGAATCCGTGAAGTAGAAGGGTATTCTGTGCCTTCTTTCATCTTTTTCCTGACTTGTTGCTGTGATTTTACAGATATGCAGAAGCAAGAGTCAAGCTGCTACCGATGGACAGACCTTCATATGGATAGAGATGGAGACAGTGGCAAGTGAGTTACCCAACGCAGACCGCACACGTTCCAAAAATGGATCGAGAGCAGAAAGTAAAAAAGGGGAGCTTTTTCTTGGACAGTTTTCATTAATTACATATTGCAGTCAAGCAAAAACATGATTCTCACTGATGAAATGAAAGGCCAAACACCCCTTTGTAACTTCTGTATGAGGATCTTGTCTGCTTAATTTCCTAGCATAAAATTTTTATGATTCAAGTAACTATCGATTCATTACAATCCTAACTTATGATTCGAGAATCGATTACTCCTACGTTGAACATAAAAATAGTATGTAATCTTGTCTGCACTTAATAAATAACAAGAATCATGCAATGCCTTATTGCAAATTGGTTTCTCAATTCACAACAATAGTGTTTATTGTGTTGGATTCACGATTATATTAAAACAAACAATAGTCAACTGTGAATCGTGAAATATAAAAAACTGAAACAGTTAAACGTGAAATTAGGTGGTCATTCTCAGACAAGTTATAGTAATATACTACATAGTTGCTCCGGGGTTGACTGATTTGTTTGCGACGTAAAAAAATAATACTCAAACGCTACTAAGGCTACTAATGTGTTTTAAAGGGAAAAAAAATGCATAACTTGACATTATTGAAAAAAATAAAAAAATCTAATGATTTCTAGCCTTAAAGAATCAAAATGATAGGGAGAAAAAATCAATGAAAATAATATTAAAAAAATAATATAGTAGCAAAATCAAAATCAAAATTGAGAAAGAATTAATTTAGAATAAAACTGTTAAGAATTTAGGTTGACTTGTGTTTTAATAAGGGTTTTAATAAGGGACAATCCAGTCAAAACTTATTAATTTTTTTCAAATGATATTATTTTGATTTTTTTTACATAAAATAAAAAAATTTGATTAACTTGAGTTAACTTGAGGAAACCCACTTAACCCATGACTCGCTTATTATCCTAGATTGACTCCTGAGTAGCATCTAGACACTAAAAGAAAAACAATGAAAATTAAAAAGAATAAAAATCTCATTGGAATAAAAAACAATTGAGAGGATGAGCTAAAATTTTTAATTAAAAAGAAAAAAATATATCAAATTAACATATGTATTTTAAATTAAAAAAAAAACTAAAAATCAAGAGAATAGGAATCGAATTAAAGAGAATAAGAAAATAAATGAAATTAAAAACAAATCAAATTTTGATAAAAAAAGACTGTGAAATAAATATTAAAAATCAAAATATTGAATTGAAGGTCAAAATTAAAAAAAAAAAAAACTATGTTGTTTTTCAATTTAGTCCCTAATTATTTTATTTTATTTATTTATTATATCAAATTTGATTTTTTATTATTTTGATTTGTTTTTAAATTTTTTTCATAATTGTAAACTCTACATCATTATTTTTTCAAATTTGTCTTTCTTAGTGTAATCTCGATTTCATGGCTTGAGTTGTTGATTTTGAATATTAGCACATTTTAAGTTCAGCCTTTTTTTGTGTGTTTTATTATTTTTTTCAATTTCATCATTTGATATTTGTTTATTAGGCTTTGAGCTTTGTTATTTGTTTTATTTTATTTTATGAATTTATCTTGATCTCATATTTCAGGTAGTGCATTAATTGAGTTATTATGGGCTAACTCTAGTTTTTTTCCTTTATGTATTTTTATAAAATTGAATTTTTTTGTAGTTTCAATCTTTGAAATTTAATTATTTTTCCCTGAGCTTTGTGACTTTTCTGCTTGTCTTTTTGTGGGGTTCTCGAGTACAGGTTAGTCAAGTTAACCCAAGTTAACTCGATTTTTTTTATTTTTTTATTTAACTTTGTTTTTTGTTGCTGGCTCCTTTTTAAAAAAAAATTGATTCTTTTCCATTATGATTGCATATCATAGGTGGCTGGTTAATAAAGTTAACACGTGTTGACCCGGGTTTTTCTCTTCAACATTACTTTTTTAAATTGATTTTTTCTTTTAATTTTATCCTTTGACATTAACTTATTGAAACTTGAGCTTTGTGAATTTTTTTTTCACTTTCCTTTCTATATGGCTATTTTTATTTTATATTTCAGGTCGTCTCTTAATCAAGTTAATCGAAGTTAACTTAGATTTTCATTGATTATACATTTTTTTTTTGTTATGTAAAATTTAACTTGACTCGCGGCTTAGTGCGAACCACTTATGTAGTAATTAAAAAGTTAAAATAAAAAAGTGATTTTTAACAGTAGTCCACAATACAAATAATATTATGCACACATTTATAGTGCACTATGGACTACTGATGAAGAAATTATTTTTTTTATATTTTTGCACTAATCTCTAGAAAAAAAAAGAGGAGAAGGGGGGGAAGAGATGGTGGCTAGAGCCATATTGAGAGTTCAACTCCAACACGAGCCATCCATGGAGGAAAAACTAGACAAGATGATTTTAGCAACGCTAAAAGAGTTCACCATCTTGTCACAGAGGAGGTTGCATGTGTAGCCTTAACCTTGGTAGCCTCGTCATATGTTGGCGCGTGTAATGACTGCTGGATATTTTTCTTTTTTATTATTTTCTTTTTTATTTTCACCCTAATTGTTTAATGCTTTCATTTAAGTTACAAATTTAAGAATTTTTTCTTTTGATTAGCCCTTGATTTTTTAATAACTATTCAAGTTAATTCCAAATTTCATAATTTTTAATTTTTTCTCTTTTTTAACTAATTCTTTTATGTCATTTCACTTTAGTTGCAGATTTAAGGTTTTTTCCTTTTGATTTGGTCCCTAACTTTTTAATAGCATTTTAATTTAATCTTAAATTCCATCCAGCTCATACCAATTAAGATTTAATCAGGAAGAAAATAAGGAATAAGAAAAGAAAAAGAAGGAAGATAATAAGGGATAAGAAAAGAAAGAGACATGATACCCAAATAGGTTATCTAATTGGAATCATATCTATAACCTGAATTGTGAATTTCATGAGTTAATCCATGTTAACTAGGATTGATATAATATAATATTTTAAAAAAATTTATTCCTAATTCATTTATAACTCTTTAATTTAGTTTTATATTCAATCCAATCCAAGACTAATTAAGGCCCATTAAAAAAATCAAATGAGAAAAGAAAAGGACATTGCCTAACTTGACATCGGTTGCCTAACCTATGTCAATTAAGACCCATTCAAGGTCTTACCAGGAGGAAAATAAAAAAATGGAAAAAAAAGAAAGATAAATTGTTCAATAAAGTTAACTCATTACGGTTATAGTCTTTCTCCGGATAATAAATCTCATGGGTTAACTTGAGCTTATATATTATGTCTTTTTTTTTTTTTACAATTTAGTCTTTGAATAGTTTATTGTTTTATATTTAACTCTAATAGGGTTATGCAGAGATTAGAACAATAACAG